ATATTAATGTCTTTTCTGTTTGTAGGACAATATGGACCTGCAATTGCGCTCATTATTGCGTCCTACACTGGCTGCAACCCTGTACTCACAGTTGCCATTTTAACCCTTGGAATGGGCATGAATGGCGGCATTTATTCAGGTTTCAAAGTAAATCACCTGGATATTTCTCCCAGATTTGCTGGCATTCTGATGAGTTTCACTAATTGTACTGCAAATCTTGCTGGACTGTTAGCACCTGTCACGGCTGGCTACATAATACACGGCAGGGTAAGCTATCAAGTTGTTGTACCTGCTGATACTGTGATTAGTCTACATGTAATTGATTGTGTATTGATTGTCCTTTTATTATTTTCAGCCAACTCAAGCAGCATGGAGAGAAGTTTTCTTCATATCAGCTGGTGTTTATGTCTTCTGTGCTACGTTCTACCTAATATTTTCATCGGGTGAAAGACAAGCTTGGGATGATCCCAGCCTCGACGCACCTCGACGAGATCCTGAGGCAAATGGAAATGGTCATACCAAGAAACTTAATGGTGTTGACAACAATGGAGCAGCAATAGAAGAAACACAGCACTAAATTGGGGTTTGTGTTAAGGTCTTGCCCTTAGCATGGCTAAATGTCAGGCAGAGTAAATTCAATCTACCATGTAATGTAAGCGGCTTGCTGCTTGTAAAGTGGCAACATTTCGGATATGCACGTTTCAATTATGCTGCAAGATATTCAATTTTATCCTTTGATAATTATCGTACTGTTTTTGACTGGTATGTTTTGAGCAAAATAGGTCTCTTGGCATACATACCTTTTTATGATATTAGTAGTACATCTACCTTTATTTCAACTGTTACTGATATCAAAAGCATTTTGTGAGGAAACAACGTCGCCATAGTGAGCTTATTTATTTTCTTACATTAAGAATATGCAAAATGTGGTGGTTATGTTCTGAAAAGTTTTTCTACAAAAATGTACAGTAGAGGCTTACAACAGTATTGAGAGTTTGAGTGAAAGTAAGAGTGTGCATTTAATTGTCATCTTTTCCTTTAATGAGCAATTCAAATTGTTTGTAAAGGTGGTGAGCTGTAAAAATGTTATGGTTTGTGATATTTTATACTCCCAGATTATCAATGTGATTGAAAGGTGTGTCTGTAAAATCAGAAAATATTTTATAAAGCAAGACTTACATTGGTAATGTTGTGAGTAGTACTAAGCACAATTAGTATTTCCTTCCTATCAACAGGAGTATTTTTATCCCTTGTAGTTGCCTGTGGCAGAGGTTGGTTATTTTATCTATCTTTTTGACCTGATAGTTTCAGAAGTTTTCCTGCCATCGTAAGTTAGTTAGTTTAGGTAAGATATTAGCTGTGATACTCATCAGATTTAATGTATAACTCATTTAAATGAATGAAGGTCTTTTTAACTATGCATGGTTTGTAAACATCTGGTGCTTCTCATTCTATGTTAAGAACCAAAATTTACCGATTGTCGTAAATGTTTATGTTGTAGTTATTCACAAATCAAATGTTTGATTTTATTTTTCTGGATCATCATCAATTAAACCCAAACACCTTGAGTTTATGATGTGGTTTTGTTGTATTTTCTTTGTTAAACAATTTCACAGGCACTATTGCAACAAACAAGAAACAGTAATCAATAAAATGTAGATTCCAAACAAGTCTAGCATCTTTGAAACACAAAAGTGCTCCCTACTTGTTTTTTATTGGTTGTTGTCTGAGGAAATATGAAATGATAATTATTTTTTCTTAAAATACAAATAGTCATCCTACTGAAAAGTTTGGACACAATTACAAAGATAATTTTTCATTTTTTTGGTGTAAAGAAAGTAGTTAAACTACAACCCCTTTTTAAATAATTTCTGCCTGTAAATTGGTGCTTTACATAAGTCCAAATTTATAAGAAAATAAATTTCTTAAGTAATATTCATGCTGTAAATAGACTATAATTTTTGGTTTGCTGTTTACATACAGCATCTTTGAAGTATTTTCAGTATTAAACATATTAGAGAGAACCAGAAGGGCAAAGTATAGGTGTTGAAGTAAATTGTTGTCAAAGGGTGGTATTCTATTGAATGTGCAAAGCTGTCATGAATCATTTGTCTTAATCTAATTAGGACAAATGTACACTATTTTGGCTATAGGCCCAGTTTGTATCAAAATGCAGGCTTGTGCCCTTAGTGAAAAGCTTGTTTAAAAGCCTCAAAAACTACGCGCTTGGCATAAGTATTAAATGCGGTGTGTAATTGTTATGTTGTACAAATAAAACTAGAACTTGATAATTTCAATGTTCCTTTGATATGTTAACCAGATTGGGTTACAAATTGTTTAATGAGGTGGTAACTGTTAAAAAGGAAGCCCTTCGATAGTTCAGTTGCCATAACATTGAATTTTTATGAGACCTTGTTACCAGTAGTCAATGTGTCTGACTAGCACCTATCCTCTGTATATTTTTCTAATTTAAGATAATTGTTAAAATAGATAATCAGAAAAAAGGGCACAATTAATTATTCTGTAAACAAAAATAAAACACTTTTTTATTTAAAAATATCTTAACAAGTGACTATTATTCATAACTGTCTCCAAACCCGTTTTGAAGCCGCTATTACTCAAAAGAAAAATTACCTCTTGAAAACCCATGCAGTGGGTTGGCATTCCCCCATTTGGAAACCCCAGTAGCGCCTATTGCACTTTTTATGCCATTTACTGACCGGGGTTCGACTTACGGCGAAAGCGGCCCGTGGGAGTTCCCTGCCCTGGCTTCCTGGCACCTTGCTGTGGTGGCGGGTGCGTTTATAAGACCTAGGAATGTGGCTTTAAAGGAGTTCCATGACCTTTGGGGCCCAGCCAGAAATGAAAATTGTCGATTCGACCTCAAAACCTCGATTTGGTTGACAAAAGTAGTAGGGATCTTGAACGCTTGAACGTCGATCAGACGTTGAAATGACATTGGTTTTAGAGCCCCCCCC